TGCCTCAATCAAAGTGCCTCCTCTGCCACCCACTCCCACCCTCCCAGGCCGCTTGCTTCATTCCAACAGAAAATTCCCCACCAAAAGGTTGTTTATTATTTTTTTTTTTTTAAAGATTTTCTTTTTTTGCTCACAATTAGAGCACACCAGACGGGCAGCCAGCGATATATACATAGAGAGAGATAGAGATAGAGAGATAGCGAGACCGATAGAGATAGAGAGAGAGAGAGAGAGAGAGAGAGAGAGAGGCCGAGAAAGAGAGGTCTTCCATCCACGGTTCACTCCCCAACCGGCCCCAATGGCCAGAGCTGCGAAACCAGGAGCCAGGAGCTTCTTCCAGGTCTCCCACGTGGGTGCAGGGGCCCAAAGACTTGGGCCGTCTTCCACTGCTTTCCCAGGCCACAGCAGAGAGCTGGATTGGAAATGGAGCAGCCTGGTCTCGAACCGGTGCCCATATGGGATGCTGGCACTGCAGGCAGCAGCTTTACTTGCTGCGCCACAGCATTGGCCCTTGATTTTTATTTTTAAAATGAGTGAGAAATGCCAGAATCTTTCTGTACGTTGGTAGTCATGAGCCAGTACCAGGAGAGGACTCTGCAGAGCCCTGTGGGGAGGGGGCGCTGGCACGTGCAGGGGCTGCGCACTCTGGGGCGGGGGGGAGGGGGTGGGTAAGGTGGATGAGGGGCTCCTCTGGTCCTCCATTTTCCTAAGGGGGCGATGAATCGGCTGATGAAGGGCAGGTAACAAGGCGGAACAGTGGAAGTTTGAGAGGATGGTTCCATGGTCTCACGGGTGTCCTGAACAATCTCTCACTGAGACTTCGCCAGGAGGCAAACTCTGACGGGGGAACTCTGACGCCCCCTCCTGTGCGTCTTGAAGCAGAGGAACCCTGGAACTGGCTGGGAAGTCAACCGTGTTTTCTCGCCTTTTTCATTCATTCATTCATTCAACAATGATTTATTGTGCAACTACTAAGTGCCCAGAACTTGCTAGGTTCTTGGGAGACTTCAGCAAACCCGATGGAGCCATGCCCTTG